CCCGGCAGCCCGTGACGGCTGCCTCCCAAGCGGCCAGGGCTGAGGGCAGGCAGGCGTGGAGCCTGAGCCCTCCTATCTGCATAGGGTCAAGAGCAGGTGCCGTGCACTTGCCGGACAGGGCCAGGGAGAAGCAAGGAGCCTGGGGCAGGGCAGGGCCTACGGAGGCAGCAGGTCGCCTGGCTCTGCCGGCAGCACCTCAGTGTAGCTTGAAGGCCGAGTCCGGGCTCTGGGGATGGGATGCCGAGGGGGAGGCTGGGGACCTGGGACCACGGGGGAAGCCTTTGTTCTTGCCCAGACGGCCGCAGGCTGGAGCCTTCGGGCTTCGGGGCCCTGCGCTGGGGGAGGTGGCAGGTGTTGGCCCGAGTCCCTGGCGGACGGCAGTCTTGCCCAAGAGCTCCTTAAACACGGAGTCCATGTTCTGGGCCACAGCCTGGCAGAGGGGAAAGGAAGGGTGGGGTTCAGGGGTGTCTCTCACCTGCCAGGCCGCTCCCTCACGGACTCTGCCGCGCCTCCACCTGAGCTCCTCTCATTCCAAAGACAAAGCCCTTGGCCATCACCCTGTCACCAGGCCCCTCCTCTCCACGAGCCACACAGTTCTGGGCCCAGCTGCCCACCCTTCCTCCCTCCAGGCCACCTCCCCCACTCCACATCTGACTTCCCTCCTGCTTTCTTTCTTTCTGTAGAGACTACGTCTCGCTATGTCGCCCAGGCTGGTCCCCAATCCCTGGGCTCAAGCAAATCCTCCCGCCTCAGCCTCCCAAAGTGCTGGGATTACAGGCGTGAGCCACCAAGCCTGGTACCTCCTACCACTTTTGGTGTCTCTGTGTAGTCTCCTCTGGAGACAGCAATTCCTCGGCCTAGCCCTGAAATGGGGGCCCCTCTGGCCAGGCCTGGGCCCCCTCTCTTTGTGCCTGAGACCACAGTCCCTTCCATGGCCTCGGGGGCCACCAGCGTGCAGACTCACACAGTTGCCCTCCCCGACTTCTTCTTCTGTCGGTCCGCCGCACTGGCCCCGGGCTCCTAGACCTGAGGGCTGGGCCAGACTTGGGACACCCACACACTCTCAGGCCCAGAGACTGTCCCCAGGGCTTCCGTGCTCAACCCATCGGGGCTCCCAGGGCCCATCACGCAGAGCACAGAGTGGGGTCTCCCCAGGCTGTGTCCTCGCCGGGTCCACGTCCTGAGTCTGCCTCCTGCTCCTGCAAGAGCTGCTGCTACCCCGCCTGCCCCTCGGCCAGCCCCCCCCCCACCTCCTTGCCATCTGTCCCTGTCATCCTCCCTGGCGTGCCAAGCACCTGCAATGTACCGCCTGTTACCTAGCCTGGCTACAGACGCCGGCCTTGAAATCTGCCCGGGAGTCCCTCGCCCCCACCAGTGTAGACAGCCTCAGCTCGACTCCGCCATGTCTGTGCTCAAGAACCAGGCTTGCAGCCCCATGCATGAGCCCCAGCCAGACCAAGCATCCTCTGTCCCCTCACCCCTGCTCCCAAGTCCCTGACCCTCCCAACCCTCATACCCTTGCCCTCCTGCCCCTCCCGGGCTCGGCCTTGGGCCTGCTGGAGGGGCAGCAGGCAGCCCTGAGCTGAAGCCAGGGAGGACAGAGCCTCGGGGAAGGAGGAGCTTGGTTCCTAGGGAGAGGCTGGGACTCCCCAGGAGAGGCCCCGCCTGCCACACACCCTGTCCTGGCTCTCACCTTATCCACCTCCACGTGCTGCTCCGGGGAGGCTGGGACCAAGCAGTGCCGTCTGTGTCCAAAGGGGGCCACAGCCTCAGGGGGCGTGCATGGCTCGGGCCTGCAGGGAACACACAGTGAGCCTGGAGGCTGTGGGGAGTTCCCGAGCCAGCCCGGCAGCAGCCCTCCCGTCCTGGGTGTGGCCAGGGAAAAGGCTAGCTCCAGGGGTCTCCAAGCTCTAAAGCCTCTCCCTGTCACAGCCAGGCTGGCCCATTCTGTCCTTGGCGTCCATGATCTGACAACTCCCGGCCTCTATGTGGCCTGAGCCTGCCCCCCCCCCGCTTGGGACAGCAAGCATGACCGGTGCTCCAGAAGGCTGATCTCCTCCCTGCTCACCGGTGGACGAACTCCGCAGCCAGGAGGCCCTCGGGACTGCTCCCTGGCTCCCCTGCGGCCTGCGGCCCGGCACGCGCCAACAGCCTCTCTGCCCTGGGGAGGGAAGGACCGGTGCGCTCTGAGGGCTCCTTCCCAGCCCAGGGAGCTGGGGCCAGCAGCTTCAGTGCCAGCCAGACCCACGGAACCCGACTCGGCCACACACTCACCCCGCGGGCAGCGTGATGTACTTGTGGGGGACGAGGCCCCGCGCGCCGGCCAGCTCCCCCCGCCACCAGTCGCTCGACGCCCTCTCGTGCAGCCGCAGCACGTCTCCCCGCCGGAACGTCAGCTCCTGGGCCGTGCGGCCCGTGTAGGCAAAGCAGGCCACAGCCTCCACGACACCCTCCAGGTCTGGGGAGAAGACGGGTTCAGGTGGGGGGCTGTGGGCATGCCGGGCGGGACGGGGCGGGGCTCCCCTGCCCGGCCCCTCACCCTCCTCCAGCGCGGGGCTCTCGGCTTCCAGGTCCGGCTCGTGCTCCCCCGCCAGGCTCTCCAGTTGGGTGTCCCTGGGGTTGGGAGCACAGTGGGGTGAATGAGGGGTGCTCCCTTCCACTGTCCTCCCTGCCCCCGCAACACCAAGAGGCGTACCCCAGGCAGCCGGCAGAAGGTGGAGCCATGCACTTCTCGTAGACGGGCCCCGGCAGTGCAGTCAGGGGCGGAAAGACCCGGGTGGGCTGCAGGATGAGTGTCTGTACCAGCTGGTTCACCCGGCCCTGCAGGGCCACTGGGTCCTGCCCAGCAGGTACGGGCAGCAGCGTCGGCCCGAAGCACACGGCCAGGTTGTAGGGGTCCATCATGTTCTCATCGCTGTACTGGGCCAGGCTGGGGGACACGCGGGCCAGAGGCCAGGAGCTCGCGGGCGCCCATGCCCGCTCCACCCCACCAGCACCCGCCCCGCCGGCACTCACTGGTTGAGGAAGGTGAAGAGGTAACGCAGCACCACCAGCACCGCCGTGGGCAGCTGTGCCAACAGGCGGCTCACGTGCTCCACCCGGGCTGCCGCGGCCTCCAGCTCTGTGGCCAAAGCCGCCCCCAGAGAGAGCCTCGTGAGGGGGGCCACCAGCAGGTGGTCCTCCCCCCCGGCCGGCCTCAGGCCCCAGCCTCACCCGAAGATGCCAGCAGTTCCCCAAACAGGTCCGGGGAGAAGATCGGGGGCTCCAGGCTCCGGAAATAGAGCTTCAGCACCCCGGCCACTGAGTCCAGGTCGTGGGCCGTGCAGCCTTCCACCAAGGGGTCCTCCCCTACGGGCGGGCAACGCAGCAAGGTGAGGAGGTGGCGTCGGTCCCGGCACCCACCCCCACCCCCACACGGCCTGCCCGACCCCACCTCTCTCGAAGGCATCTCGGATCTCTGATACCCGGGGCTGTGCACCCGATACTCGGAAGATGCCCTCGTGCTGCAGGCCTGCAAGGGACAGGGAGATGGTGGGCACCGAGTCCCCGCCCCTCCAGGACTGCCACCCCTACGCCAGGTGCTGGGTGCTGAGGGTCAGGGCAGCAGGAGGGGCTGGGCCTCGCCGCCGAGTTCAGTGAAGCGCTTACCATTGAGGTTAATGAAGCGGATACAGCTCTCCACCACCAGGGGCACGGGCTGGCCTGAGCTCTGGGGACAGAGAGGGTTTGACCTCACCACGGACGCAGCATGTCCAGTTTTGTCACTGGATCACTTTTGTGTTTGTTTTTGAGTCAGGGCATCATTCTGTCACCCAGGCTGGAGTGCAGTGGCACAATCATGGCTCACTCCAACTCCTGACCTCCTCCTCCTCGGTCTCCCAAAGTACTAGGACTTACAGGTGCATGCTACACTTGACTAATTTTTTTATTTTGTTGTAGAGATGAAGTCTTGCGGTGTTGCCCAGACTGGTCTTGAGTTCCTGGGCTCAAGCAATCCTCCCGCCTTGGCCTCCCAAAGTGCTGGGATTACAGGTGTGAGCCACAGCGCCCAACCTGGATCACTTTTAGTTTCTCTTACTACAAATTTTCGTTTGTTAGCCTCACTCTTAGGTGTCTAGTCTTCTGGATGCTGTTTTAGGTAGCACCTTACAGCTTATTTGTAAGTGGTTCGTCGCTGGAATGTAAAAATGCAATCTGAAGTCGGGCTCGGTGGCTCAGCCTGTAATCCCAGCACTTTAGGAGGCTGAGGTGAGTGGATTGCCTGAGCCTGTGGGTTTGAGACCCACCCGGGCAACTTGGTGAGACCTCGTCTCTACAATAAATCAAAAATTAGCCGGCCCGGCTACTCGGAAGGCTGAGGCAGAAGGATCACCGGAGCCCAGCAGGTCGAGGCTGCGGTGGCTGGGAGCGGCCACTGCACTCCAGTCTGGGCGGCAGAGTGAGACTCCAACTCAAATAAAAAAAAAAGGAATTCGATTCTGTACCAGTGACAGTAGCGATCCCTCTTTTCTGATTTCTCTTGCTCCCCTGATTTCACTGTGGAGGCCCCCCCAGTAGCAAGCAAGCTGGCTAGAGTGGGGCTGGTGGGTGTCCTGTGCCGACGCCAGTCGCAGGGGAAAGCTTGCAATGTCTTGCCCCTAAACAAGCTTTTGTATGTTCCTGTTACTAGTTAAGGACGCTTCCTACAGTCAGCAGAGGCCCCAGGGGAGCCCAACAGAGGCCGGGAAAAGGCCCACCCAGGAAGGAAGAGTCACCAGTGATGGAGAACGGAAGGTGCTGGGCTCAGGCAGCTGCTCAGGGCACAGAGATGACCTGGCGCTGGAGACAGGCCAGCACACACAGGCAAAGCAAGTACCTGGATAAACTTCTCCAAGTCTCCCCCAAAGAGCCTCTGGTTATACTGGGAGCTGGGGCGGGGGTGGCGGCTCTTCTGGAGTTTTCTCTGCGTGTACTGGGTCCTGTGGTGAATGGGAGCTGCCTCTGAGAAGAGACTGGGATGCCCCACCCCCCAGGCCAGCAGAGCAGAGCTCTGGACCTCTCCAGTTCTTCCAGAATCCACTGGGCAAACCGGGACATCGAGGCCACAAGGCACTGGGCAGCAGAGCTTGGCCCCGTGGAGAGAAGAGATGGGGGAGCCATCGCAGAAGTCCAGTTCTCGGAACAAGCCACCCCTCAGGAAGGACTCACCAAGACATCTCCCGCTCCTCCTTGTCACCTGGGGAGAAGAAAACGTCGGTCTGCCTTTCGGGCCGGGCCTCCGAGACACCCAGGGAGAGAGGTGTGTGAAGGACACAGGCAGGCGAGGCCGGGAGGAACACAGGCCGGGGAGAGGAGAGCAGGGAGGAAGGGTGGGGGCGGCACAGGGCCCACCTTGCTGTAGGGCCTCCTGCAGCTTCTCGTGCTTGGCCTGTAGCTTGGCAAGGATGCTCCGTCCGCTCAGATACTCCTGGAGCTTCTGGGAAGCCCCAAGGACAGCCCAAGTGTTAGTCCCTGCTCCGGGCCCTCCCCCTGGCCCTCCCCAGCCCCGGTGTGTCCCCTCCCCGCCCAGCCCGGCCCTCCCCACCGTGATGTAGAAGGTCTCAGTCTCCTGCTGCTGGACCCGCCTCCGGCCGGCCTGCCGACTGCCTGGGTCTGAGCTGGTGGACTTGAGGGACTCGGTGGAAGGGCTGGTCTGGAAGCAGTCCAGCACATCCCCATCATCCGATGCCACCACCTCCAGCAGGGCCTGCAGGGTGGCCTTCAGCGTCTTGTTCACCTGGGCAGGGGATGGCACCAGGGCGGTGAGAAGTGGGAGACAAGGTGGGGGACAGGAAGCCCAAGCCGGAAGGGAGGGGAAGACCAAGCTCTCGAGGCTTCCGGTCTTGAGCCAGGTGCAATGACGCACACCTGGTGTCCCAGCCACTGGGGAGGCAGAGATGGGAGGATCGTTCGAGTCTAGGAGCTCGAGACCAGCCTGGGCAACACAGCGAGACCCGATCTCGATTTGCTTTTCTACCTAGAGGTGCAAGGTCCCCGTCCCAGTCCACGCTAGCCACCCATACCTCCTCCGTCTCGATGGCCTGTCGGTCCAGGCGACTCTGAATGTTCTGGGCTCTGGGCAAAATCTCGTCCCGCAGCTCCATCTCAACCTGGATCTCCACCACCTGCAAGAGGCGTCTGGGGCTGAGGGCCAGGCCTGGGCACAGAGGGCTCGGGCGTGGGAGTGTGGATGAGATCTCCAGGTCATGAGGGAACCAGGCATGCCTCTGCTTTCTGATAGCTGAGTGGAGGACCACTGGCCTGGCCCTCAAGAAATGAACACATACGTCCACACCAGGACTCGGCCGCCGATGTTCAGGGTAGCATTACTCACAACAGTCCAAAGGTGGAAACAGTTCTGGTGTCCGCTGACAGACAGATGGACAGACAGCATGCAATCTCTCCACACAGTAGAATGCTGTCCACCCAGAGAAAGGAATGCAGTGCAGGCCCATGCTACAGCACGGACGGACCTTGGGAACACTGTGCTGAGTGAAGGGGCCAGCCACAGAAGCCACATGGCAGAGGCGGCCACTTACATAAGACGTCCAGACAGGCACATCCACAGAGACAGAAAGCAGATGAGTGAGTGCCAGGGGTACTGGCGGGGGGGGGGGGTGGATGGGGAGAGATGGGTATAGGGCTTCTTTCCAGGGTGATGAGAATGTTCTGAAATTGGACACTGGTGATGGTTGCACAGCTCTGTGGATATGCTAAAAGCCATTGAATTGTTCGCTTTATTGTTTCGCATTCCCTGATCATCAAGGAAGAATTGTCTACTTTCGATGGTATGTGAGCTATACCTCTATCAAACCGTTTATTTCAAAGACAATGGTAAGGTAGACTGAGGTCTGAGACAGAAGAGGGAGAGCCCAGCCGGATGTCTCCGGGCAAAGGAGTGGACAGAAACAGATTTCCCGTGGAACGATGACAGCAGCCTGCCTCGTGGGCAGTGTGGGGGAGGGAGGAGAAAGCTCTGGGAGGCAAGAAATTCCTTTTCCAGGCATGGAAACATCCAGAAAACTCTGGTATTACAGTTAAAAGTGAGAATGAGGACTCATCTGTGGCAGGCCAGACACTTGTCCTGCTCTCTGCTCCTTGAAAACCCCATCGTGGAGGAACACACAAAGGTGCAAGTCGTAGGGGAAAAGAAAGGACACTGGGACACTCACTCCAGTATGGCTGAGCCTGGCAGACACCGTGCTCCATGAAACCGTCACCAGAGGACAAATACTGGAGGCCTCCACTTCTGCAAGGCCCCTAGAGTGGTGACATCCATAGCGACAGGCAGTAGAAGGGTGGGAGCTGGGGCCTGGGGGAGGGGGAGCTGGGACGGTGTTCCCGTTGGGAGGATGAGCGGACTCTGTGGATGGAAGGGGGTGACGGCTGCACGACACCGTGATTGTGTCTCTGTCCCAGACTGGGCACTTCACATGGTGAATGTGCTACATCTAGGTGATGTGGATGCCACCACAAAATTCCTCAAGTCTATCTAGGCCTTAGGGAACACTGATATTAGATCCTTCCTCCAACCCACACAATCGCAGAAATCGAGAGATTTCCCCTCTGAAAAGGCTGAGCCAGGGATTTAGGACCCAGGGACACAAGTGACAGCTGAAGATGAGGTAGAATGCCACCCTGATGAGAATGTCCTTATGAGCCCTGTCTCAGTGACATCCTGTTGGACACAGGCAATGCTCTAGAGCATCAACATCAGGCAAGGCCGCGCTGTGACCAAGATGGGTGAAGACAGAAACAAGACCAGCCTCCCTGAAGCCTGACTAATGCGAGCGACTGCTACTTCCTCGCCGTTGGCTTCAGCCGCCCCTCGCTGCCCCCTTCCAGATGAGACTTATCAAGACAGTCAGAGGGTTATCCCAGCTTCCTGACAGTGTCCAATCCAGAGTCAAGCCCCGCTTCCCCCACGCTCCCTAGGGCAAGCCCAAGTCGACACGTCCTTCCTAACACCCTCTCACTGACAGCCCAGCTCCCCGGGGACTAAGTCCAAACAGCGCAGAGTGAGCTCCCAGCCTGCTCGCTTCCCCTCCTCCCCAGATCAAGGGTCAGGAGAGTCCTGCTCAGAAAACTGGCCAGTATGGGAGACACCCACAGACACCGACATTTTTTTTTTGAGTTGGAGTCTCACTCCGTAGCCCAGGCTGGAGTGCAGTGGCCGCTCCCGGCCACCGCAGCC